AATATCATAAACTCAATGTACTGAATAAAATTCTTATGCCAGTCGAGTAAACAGGACGAGTCATTTGTTTCGCAACACTTTATGACCGGCGCACTTTTGCCACCGCTCATCAATCCAATTATTTTATTCGCAACGTCTAACACAAAGTATAAAGATAAGCAGAGCATCACGGCGAGAGACGAGCATAAAGTGTAAAAATAACGATTAGCGCACTTTCGACGAGATATGCCGGTTTTACACGCACGTAAGGCCGTAGTCGATCCGGCTCTGCCATTCTCTGATAAAAAAAAAAAAAAAAAAAAAAAAAAAAAAAAAAAAAAAAAAAATTACATACACAAATATTTCATAATTCTAGTTGCAATTGCATTGACTCCTTTACAAAAATGTACTCTAAATTTAGTTATTAATATTATATCAATTGTGATCTAGGTTTCATTGTCAGTAAATCATATTGTTAATTAAATAAATAAATAAAATAAATAAAAAGCTCCGGCAAAATGCAAAAATTCCAACTAAAAATTTGCAGGTCAAGTGCCTTCCACACCACTAAGCGGCAAAGAAAGAATCAGCGCGCTTTGTCGCACCAGGACTCGAGTCAGCAAGTCCTTCATCGTACCACAATCACGTAATTAGCGCCCAAAGAAGCGCGCGTACCCTGGTTAATTGAAAGCTTGCACAAGCACAAAGCACTGCCCACTGTGTGCAATGTGTATGCGTGGGCGACGCACCGGCTAGAATCGAGTACGCCTCTACCTCGACCGCGACCCCACGGAGTCGGAAACCCCGGCGCCTCGACACTCGCGCCCCACCAGCAGCGGCTCTTTACCTGCTCGCACGTCCTTTCCAACGGGCAAATCCTTCGGTTATCGCGTCCGGCCACGAGCGACGACGCAACCTCGATCAACAACCGTAATGCTGAGAGGAGCGACGCGCGCTCCAATGACGGACTCTCGACTCGTGATGACGAGGAAAGCTGCGGAGTACCTCGCGTGATCGCCGGCCGGTGTCTTCAATCGAACTGCGGGGGTTGGACGACGGTGGCGCCCCGATGACTCGCGCTCCCGCCACCGCTACGTCCACCGCCGCCGCCGTCGTAGCCGCCGCCGCCGCCACCACCACCCTTCGACGTCGAGACCCGAACCACGGCGAATACGACCGAGGATATCATCTCGCCCCTTCCCCGCCCAGCTGGGGGCACGATTTTCGCGGGCGCGCGTCCTCACCTGCGCCCACCACCTCCTGGACAGACATTGTCCCGACAGGGGATTCGATCGGGCGGCCTACTGCCCGGGAAATTTTTGCCGCCAGCGCGGGCAGCAAGCGTGGCCATCTTTGCTGCGCGGAACCGAAATCCCTTGAAAATCCTAAACAGCGTTGCGATTAGCACTATCCTTTCGACGTGAGTCCTTCGTAGGATCTCGTGCTTTTGATCAATCCACTGAATTACCGTGGCCGAAACATTGTATCCATCCACCTATGACTCGAACGAGATAATTGCGTTTACAATCGTGCCTTTATAAAGATGACTTGACCTTAAGGTTTGCCATTGCGAGGCATCGATTTACCTCCCTACACTGCATGGTATACGAGATGGGAAATTCACTGCTGAACGTGATCGTGGGCTTGGACACGTAAATGCCTCGATTTCTTTTTGTTTTTTTTGTTTTTTTTTTCTCCAAAATAGGTTGCGCATACACACATCGTTATTACGTGCTGGCCAAATCAGTCGTTTAAGACATTTATATCGAGATTTGCTGGAAAGGTCAAGTGCAAATTAAACGTTGTTCATTAAAAATGCAAATAAATGGAATTTTATTTTTATAAAAAGATTAAGGGGAATAAAGAAGAAGAAGAAGAAGAAGAAGAAGAAGAAGAAGAAGAAGAAGAAGAAGAAGAAGAAGAAGAAGAAGAAGAAGAAGAAGAAGAAGAAGAAGAAGAAGAAGAAGAAGAAGAAGAAGAAGAAGAAGAAGAAGAAGAAGAAGAAGAAGAAGAAGAAAGGAAAAAGGAGAAAGGAAAAAGGAGAAATTCATTTAAAATAAAGATAAAATTTTAGTGACTACTGTTATTACAAAACAAAATTTTCGTAAATAATTGTATATTGTTGTTTCATAATAATGTTGTCCAGCGGAAAATATCGAAGGTACAAAATTTGTCGAATATTTAATTTGAAAATAATATTTCGAGCTCTAGCAGGCAATTAAAAGAAAATAAATAATTAAAAAATTATCATTTCATTATAGTTTTGTTAACTACATGTAATGACGAATGACGATAATTAAAAGTTTCGTGCGGTCTTGTAAAAGGGCGAATATTTTTTTATTAATTGTACACACACGCGCGCGCGCACGCACGCACACACACACACACACACACACACATAGAAACTGTAATATCGAACATTTCATTGAAATGAAACTGATAAGTTAATTAGCTATTAGCGAGTGCTTTTATTATTTGTCAATGGGATGCATAACGATATATTATCTATATAAGAACATTTAGAGAAAAATGGCCAATTTCTTAAATAATATTGATATAAAAAAGAAACAAGAAAAAAAAGAGAGAAGATTAGCAACTGACGATGGTACATTCGACTCGTAATATGTTTTATTGTTATGCTGTCTTTATGAATTTTAGAATTATTTTATGAAAATTTATTTGGTAAATAAATAATCGATAGCAGAGAATTTGAAGTAAAAATATTTATTAATTGTAAATATGAAATTTCATTCGATCGAAATATAGATAGTCGAGTACATAATATTGTGTAATATAATTTTAATGTGATCGTGCTCGATACAAATACCTATCGATTTTAACACATAAAATACAATATTGTAAATGTATCGTAATATTCACTCTGGTTAATTTTTTCTTTCTCTTTTCTGTCTCATCGTATAATAAGCTCAGTTAAGATACAAATAAGTTTACGCGAGAGAAGAATATAAACATACGGTAAGTCTAATACTGCGAACAGCGTCATAAATTAATCCTTAATTAAGTACGTACAATATTAGATAACATATCGCTGAAACTTGAGTTACACTTTCAAAACATCGACACTTTCACTTTTATAATAATTACGCATCGCAATAGTAGATTAATATTGTATATTAGTATATAAAAAAAAAAAAAAAAAAAAAATTATATTTAATCTGCTTTATAATTAAATGACATTAGCTTTCAAGCTCTACAAAAAAGACGTAATTTCTTCTTTTTGTGGATTTCGAAGTAACTATGCCATTCGATAAAATTGTTTCAATTTTGTAAATCTTCAACATTGCTCGCATTATCTTCCCCTCTCCTCACCGCCAATCCTATGATATACCCGTCCGAGCTTTTTCTAATTTGAAGAATTTTACGCTACTCCCCGATAATGTATAGCTTTGATTAAAGACTTCGATTTATCTGAAACTTATCTATACTCGGATTAAATTTTAATTATTTGGTAAATGTGTCTTTCAACTACAATATATCTACTACAATATATAAGTATAGCTAATTTTTTAAATAATTAATACGTGAAAATAATTGCCACGATATGGAATCTTATAGAATTAATATATGTTAGGACAATAATAACGACATTCCTATGCAATAGACATATATTTTTTTTTTATATTTTTTTTTTCTACACACACGCACATACAACACACACCCACACACACCCACCCACACACACACATATACACACACACACACACACACACACATATATATATATATATATTAAATACACTACATATGCAAAAAAATATTCTTTTAATATTATAAACGTTAATTTTATAATATTGGCTCTTAATGCGTATCTTGGATTATTTTTTGAAAAATCTTTTATTTTGCTCCGTTAAACGAACGAGCTTCGCACAATACTTACTACCTTTTACAATATAATCGATGACATTTGAAAATATCTATTAAATACTCATTTATTATAATATATACTATTATGAATTCAATCAGATTTTTATTATCCAAAGGCAGCTCCGATATCATCACCCTCGCACTTTGCGAGGATCAAATCTCTTTATTAAGATGAAATCATGTTCACGTTGAGGTAAGAAGAATCTGATCATTAATTTTATTACTATAAAATATTGCAATAGCGAATCGTGAAATTTTACCAGGCAATTGAGCATTAACATTACGTGAGCATCGTTGGACAAAAAAAAAAAAAGAATTGCAATGACACGTTTGGATATTCTAAATATTTTATCGATTAAAAATTTTGACTGTTTAAAGATAAGAAAAGTATATAAGAAAGTATATAATTCAATATCGTGTCGTATGACAAAGAAAAAAAAAAGAACAGTCTGGTACAAGCCGAAAGAAAATCAAGTTTCCCCGTTAAACAATAACAATGAATCTTTCTAGCATATTATACATGTATCTAAAGTCATAAACGTAAAATAACCAAGCAGAGAGAGAGAGAGAGAGAGAGAGAGAATAAAGAAGAAGAAGAAGAAAAAGAAAAATAATCGCAAGATAATTCACTTGAAATCCTCAATAATAAACGTAATAAGTAAGAAGCGTTGCTTGAAAAAAGGGCCGAGGAAAATGGAGCGCACGCATTCCTGGATTGTCGAACAATGAAGGTCCGTAATCTTCAGAAGGGTCACTACCACTAAGACAAAATGAGCACTTATAAAGAGGAGAGTCTTCTCGACGGTTTCCCTCTCGGCACTCACGTCTACTCGTACGTTCATTTTTCTTTCTCTTTCTTTTTTCGCCTTTTTTTTTTTTTTTTTTTTCTTTCTTTTTTGTTCCTTTCCCAAACCATTCCTTCCTCCATACATCCTTTTCTCTTTTATCGCGGGGTTTGATGGATAATTTCGGGCCCTACATCAAACTGGAACCTTACACTTTCTATACAACCTGGATGCCTTTGAGCCGATTCTTGCCTTGCGAATGCGACAGGCATAGATTATTTCTCTACTCCTCGCACCACTCGCACATTTCGCCATAATAATTTCGCAATGTCCAACTCCGGCAGCATCTAATATAGATTTCTCCCGACACTGGACGCGCGTCACCTGCATTAGCCGTGTAATTTACAAGTCATTGGTCACTCGGGCTTTTAACGTCGTACATAGACGACGAGCGGCGAAAGTAACATTACACAGCAATGAATACGAACTCGGAATTTATTCTGCGATGCAAATCACGATGGATCATAACGATCGCAGGCGCAATATCCCGTTGGATCCTTAAGGCCGATCAGGGCGAGGGTCGCGAAGATAATCGAAGGGCCGTTCGCCGGCGCCACGGTGGCTCAACGAACGTAAATATGGCACGCGCAGCAGAAGTAATATGAAAGGGCCGAGGTTAAGTCGGCGCTCCAAGTGGTAGGGCCGCGAGGCTCTTCGCGCCTCAGTAATTCTTGAAGCTGTCGGTGAAGGCGTTCCAGGAGTCGCCGATGGGCGCGAGGACGGCGATGACGATGAGGGCCAACGCGAACACAGCGATCACCACGAAGTAGACACCGAAGACCAGCTTGCGGAGGCCGGAATGCTGTAACATGAGGAATAAGGTTAGATGGGCCAAAGCAGGCGACCGGGTCTTGGGCGAGAATGGGAAAGTAGGAATTGACGATCGATGGACTCTGAGCATTCATTAGGCCGTTAAGATTTTTTCGACTCTCATTTTTGTCGCGTCTCATTTTTGACTTCCTCAAACTAGCTTAAGAGCACGTCTCTCTCTCTCTCTCTCTCTCTCTCTCTCTCTCTCTCTCTCTCTCTGTTATTGCTGATACAGCTATTGCGAGTTAATTGCTTTGCCAAGCTTTTGCATATTAGTCATGTTATTAAATATTTTCATCATCGTGTTTAATTTTCGACAATGATGCCAACGAATAGAATTCCTTTATGGAAGAAATTCTTGATAAGCTCAGCTCGTGTGCATCCTTTTGCCAAGAATTAGAGCTCTCGGTCATTATGTCCTCATGCTATCAATTTAAGCAAAAAATCTACAGACGCAATTGTAAATCCACATCTCTTAGAATTACGATTTCAAATTTTATTGCAAATTTCATGTTTCGCCTTCTATAAACATACCGAGAGATTAAATGAAAAATGAAGAAAAAAAAAGTAATAGGAATCGTGCATTTTTAAGAATTATCAAATGTATGGAGGTCGGGATGCGTATCTTAATAACGGACTTTTTTTTTAATTTACGCATAAAAATATGCAAAAATTAATCATTAAAATTATAATTCGTAATCGTTTTATTTAACTATAGCTAATATTTTAAATGATTTATTCATCAGAATTAGAATGCTCCATGAGAGAAAGATGGTATTGAATATCTGGTTATCTCCTCCTCCCCCAACCCCTCCAAAGATATTATACTATTAGTATTACAAATACGTTAAGACTAATGAATTTTTGTTTGTAATATTATTATTTGTATTGATACTATTTTAACATATGAGTTAATAGGCTTAATCAACATTTTCTAGACGGACAATATTTATTATGTTTTCGTAAAGTTTTTGGAGTTCGTTAATTCGAAAGTACAAGGATTTAAAAAGAGGGAATTAGTATAATATATTATCAAGCCAGGGTGCGACTATTGTCAACGTACATTGTTATTATTTTTGTTTATTTCTGTTTGTTTACAATTTCACGACCTTAAATATAGTTATATAAAAAATTTTTAAGGTAATAATTTTAAATAATAATAGTCTAGTTCACGACGTTGCTGTTGCTTGTGCTCATAGGTGAACTTTATCTATGGCTCCTGGGTATCATCTTTTTTTATTCAACTTTTATCACCGAGCAAGTTTTACATATTAAAAACTTTCTTGCAAAAAAAGAAAACGACAATATTTTCTTATATATAATTTTAATTAAAAGTAATTGGTGAATTTTTAATCGATAATAATGATCGTCCATACTTATAGTCCGTTCATAACTCTATTATTTATAAAAAGAAAAATATAAGATTTTTTTATTTTTATGTGATTAAATTGTTTTTTTTTTTTTTTTTTTTTTTTTTTTTTTTTTTTTTTTTATTGTATTAAATTACACGGATAAATTTCTAAATACAATTTAACTTTCTACCCCGAATTTATAGTCAAGTACGTATTTACTAATTTCCTTAGAAACTACCATAGCATGCAGCTAAATAACTTGGACCATAATTTTGCATCGTTTATACAGATTATCAATTTTTCTTCTTAATAAATGACTTAATAAATAATTTTTTTACTAGCTGACATTATTGTACATAGTTCCTTAAATTAATTTAATAATTTTAAAGACTGGCTGTACTTTTAATAAACAAGATCCTTTACGTAGCTCATTCTTATTCTTATTTCTTTTCACTATAAATAGGAATTTATAGGAATCACATTCATAAATTATTATGCATGAACGTTGAATCTTTCTTAGATGGATAAAAGCTGTTATAAATATAAAATCAAGACGAGATTGAGAAGTATTGTAGATGCTAATGAGAAGCGACAATTACGTTAATAATAATAATAATAATAATAATAATAATAATAATAATAATAATAATAATAATAATAATAATAATGATAATAATGATAATAACAATAATACCTTGAAAAATGCAAGCGGAAAATATCATCTTAATGCGTTCGTTTGCCGCATGTGGATTGGTTTAACGAAAGCCAGTCTTGCGAAAAGAATTTTAATGAAACACGACGAAAGGATAAAAATGAGAGAAATGATGAAACTGTTGGGAATAGTGGGGGTGTAAGGAGTCGAGACAGTGTGGCGGACGATTTCACCAACTTACCGGGGCGTCTCGTCTCGCGTCCGGATGCGTCATGGAATTACGGGCATGCACGTCCTTCATGGGGAAGGAATTCACCCTCTGACTTCCTTGCTTGTCTGAGGCGCAGCCAGCGAACTACAAAAATGCAAATCTCATAATATGGCCGTCATGTGCCTTACCTCCGCCAAACTATTCCTCGGTTTTTAGTCGCGGCACGAGCGGGGAATTTTGTCAGGGGCCTTACGTCACATTCCCCTCGCAATTAGGGACCCAGACACTGCTAATGAATCCCCGATGAAGACTTTGGTCCATTATCTTCTGTCCATCCCGCTTCCATACCCTCCCCCCTCCCGCCAACCCCATTCCTTCCGTCGAACTCGTTCATCAGTAAAGGTTTTAATTTCAATTTGTAATTATATTATTTGTAAAGGCTTGCGTCAACGTTTAAACACGATACTACCATTTTCTGCTTTGAACAATCTTAATTCGAATGCTTTGAATGAGCATTGAAAATTTTCATGCGACATTAATTATTAAAGTATGAAAGAACATGTTCTTTAAAGCTTATAGATATAATAACGCACGTATGCCCTAAAAGATCGTAGACATTCAATTTGAACGATCGTGTTTATTATTCAAAACATTTCGTTAATATCGTCATTATAAATTTTCTCTCTACGTCGAAGTACTTATCCTCAGACATAATCCCTTAAAACATGAATGGCAAGATAAAGGGTGTGATGTAGCTTTGAAATAAATTAAATTTACAAGCTCAAGCTTCTGTATTTCAATTAATTTCTTTACATCAATACGATTTTACTCTCTACTTTATCTACTTAATCAAAAGATAATCGAATCAAATATTATTTACGCGCACAATGTTTCATAAATCCGAATAATTAATTTGTTAAATTTTTAACTTATATTAAATTACGTTAAATACTCTTACGATTAAATAATCACGATTACCATGTTCTTATAACTTAATGTCACTTTATTGATAATAGAATTACCTTATTTTCTAGAATGCAAGTAACTCAATTTCAAGTCACTTTAAGCCTCTTAATCATTAATAATAACTATAGATCATCGCACGAGTCTTCGTGAAATAAACTGCTCTTTAATAATTATTAAACAGCCTTTGAGTACCGTGTCACACGGTACGTTAAAGCCTTATGAAAATCGTAATAATATTCACAAAGACGAGCCGAGTATCTCATTTTGGACTCTTACGTAATCGCACATAATTAAAGAATAATAGAAGAAGACCTGACAGTACCGAGCACTATCTTCTAGCTTTATCATACAGATTACAGGTTGAGAAAGTAAAGTAGTTCGGTTACTTACCGTGAGGAATAGATGAGTCAAAACGTGAAAGACAACGTAGGCCACCAGAATCCAGTCTACCCACTCCGGCAGTTTGGCCTTCGTCAGTCGTACAGCGAAGAATATGGCGATTACTATAAAAAGAATTTAGTGTCGTGAAAGGAATTCAAAGGCGGTTAAGCGATTGGCATTGGCTCATTAGTTGTAATCAAATACGTTTCCCTGCCTTTTCTTTTTTTTTTTTTTTTTTTTTTTTTTTTTTTTTTGTCTCCATTAAACATGTCCGCCCGCTTGCTTTATTGATTTTAAAGGGCTCCAGAGATTTGACGGATTTTGCTATTCTTGCTTGCGTTTGACTTGCATAATAACCTTACGACTGTATCACGATACAAAAGGATAAAGGAAACGAAAAAAACTTACCAAACTATGACTATTTTCTCATTTACTTATAATAGAAACTTTATAACGATAAAACAAAACAAATCAAAACAAGGCAAAAACAAAAACAAAAAAAAAAAAAAACAATGAAAAAACAAGTTTAATGCCGTAACATAGGATAAGTATATTTTGCCCTCGGGATGAAAATGTAGTATTTTTAAATTTTATTTTTGGAGAGGCGTGCGTAAATATATGTGCTTTCTTCTTTCTACAATATGTGAGATTAAAATGAGTATTAAAAATTTTCTTCGGTTCTTTAACATCGTCGTTTTAAAGTAGCACGAGAAAGATGTCTGACATAATAAATTAGCGCTGGATATAATTATTTTTTGGACGCTAATTTTAATTACATAAAATGAAGTCGATAAATTGTATGAAAATTTTATTTATACCCACCCCCCCCCGTCCTCCTCCTCCTCCTCTATTTTTATTAAACTATAAGTGAGAGAAATTCGATTTTAAATAGCGTTCAATAAGAGAATGCAATCATTTTTTTAACACCCGATGTTTCGTAATTTACAAATCCGACGAGTCTAATATTTTATCATTAGTAGACAATTGCAATGTTCGCGGATAATTGTGACGTACACGTGAAATGTACTGCGAAGCCGATATGTACTGAAATTTCAATTAAATATTAACAAAGTTCAAACTACAGGCAATTATTCGATTATGAATTTAACAAGTTCGACAAAACTTAAAAGTTCTATGGTTGATTCTATAAGTTTGTGGTCCAGCTGAACACGTTTTCTCATCCTGTAAAAACTTGCCGTTATTATCTAAAGTTTTATGAAAAAAAATTGTTCACAACCCTTTCTCAAAATATGTAATAATCCACATACGGATATCCTAAGATAAAATAATATGTTAGAGTGACTTTAAAACAATGTACTCGTGACAACGGCCTACTGTACATTATCAATTAAGAATAGTATGAAATTTTGCGATTATTTATATATTTGAAACATAAAACTGGTTCACGTATTATACTCTCAATTAATTCAAGCCAAAGCAAATAAACCTTCCATGAAGTTCCGTGTGTGCGCTCGAAAGATTTTCGCTTAATGAAAAGGATCTTGGGACAAACCATGCGTCCCCCAAGAATACCCACGGGACTTTTCATCTATGCACTTGCATGATTGTATATTGCGCGCGCGCACGCTCACGTACTAATGCGAGTACATGTTACTAGAAGAGCCCACTTCTGGGATCATAACGAGCCGACTACAATTGCTGGGAGTATGACGACGATGCGAAGAGAAAAACCGGTGTCGCTCAAATTTTCTAGTTCCCTGACATTACGTACTCTAATGTATATAGCCATTGAATAAAAAGACGTTGGCATTCTTTGTTGCATTGCAGGGTGAAAATCAATTGACGAAAGGCAGAATGAAAGAGAAATTAAACAAAAATTATCGGCAACGCGAGGCATGGATATGCGTAAATTTGCGCCAATTTCCGCTCTCGCTGCTCGAATCGAAGCCCATAACAAATTTCCAATAATCTTATACTTACTTCCACAGATGTGAGCGGCGTTACCGATGAACCAGTGGACCCAGTTGAAAAGAATTCGCCTCGGTGCACCAGGATGTGGCCTCATCGCCGCCATGAATGGCTGAATGAAGCTGAGTATTGTTGTCGCGAGGCCAATGGACGCGTGATACGTCGCGCTACTCCAGGATTCGAGCTCGACGAAGATGACGACGAATGCACCAATGGTCATGGACCACGTCAGGAACATGAAGAAACGATGCCACTGTGAGAATATTGAATCTTCAGTCAATGGATTGGTGATGTATTGTACGTACTCCATCGTATCAATATAAACGACGCACCGATAAAACATTTCATTCCGACACTCAAAGTTCTTATAAATACGATACTAAAAATTAATTTAAAGCTAATCAAATTTCCCTCAAAATAATTGATTTTACCGTACAATTTAAATTGCATATCAGCATAATGGCCCATTCTATTATATCATATGAAATTTTAGCAATAACATATTTCTAATTTTCATCATATTTCAGTTCTAAACCTTCGATTATAAGGGACTTAGACTTTCTTTTTCGTTTTATGCAATTTTTTTAATATTTAAAGATTGATAAAGAACGCGTAGCCCTGTTTCAATATTCAAAATGTACATTATATTTTTATGAACCGTAATTTTGAATACAGATATTAAATTTTAATCCTTAAGCTCTGTGCTTTTTTTCTCTTTAACGGACCAAGATCTAAGGCTTATCTTCATTTATATCAGTTTTATAAAAATGTCGAATTTTAGTTTGAATAGCATGAAATATTACACATAATTGATTTTTCCGTGAAATTGAATTTTATTCCGTTCTATATAGATAATTATATAGATAATCTAAATGATTGAAGTACAATAATTTATTTTCTCAATTAAAGTGAATACTGAAATATCCAAGGGAAAGCAATTCACTTCTAAAGTATGAGAAATTTATTCAAAAATACATACTTCTAACGAGAAAACATAATAAAAATAGCGAGAAAAACATATATTTACATAATAACGAATATGTGCCAACGTTATTTCTTCAATATTTCACTCACTCTCTCTCTCTCTCTCTCTCTCTCTCTCTCTCTCTCTCTCTCTCTCTCTCTTTATATATATATATATATATATATATATATATATATATAATGTTACTTTTACATACTAATAGCCTTGCAGGCAATATAATTTCATACCCTTGTACATACAAAGTTCAATTACGAATTTCCCAAGATATAGTTTCAGATTTTTAATTAATTGAATGAATTGCTTCCAGTCACACGAAAAAATCTTACTTTCAAGAAATCAGAAAAAGCGTCGGAATATTTTTACGTCAAATTATTATAAATATTAATTTTCGCTATATATGTGAGTTAGCTGTGGTGGTAAGTGATATATTGTAGGAAGATGCTCCCGTTGTTGTATCTCATATTGTTTCGGGCAAATCGATTCAATACTCTGACAATTCGCTGAGGAGAGATTTTCATGGCGAACTGTATATTTCAGTCTGATAGAATTGGCAACCCAACCCATTGAAAAATATTACCAACTTCGTCAAGATTATGCTTTTGGAAATGAATGTGACGTCTTTCCTAGGAAAATATTCCATTTTAAAATTTACAATAATATGTGATGTGTAAATTACTATAATTCAATCATTTTTCTCGAAAACTACGATCCGAAAACTACGCGAAGCTTTTTATTGAAAATTCTAATATATCTAATACGTCGCAATTAATTGAGCAAATTTACATTTATCATTATTGGCAACTAAGCGAGTATTTACACATCTGCAAAATTTTAATTAATCAAACGTCATATTAATTCTGTTACCTTGTAAATAAAACAAGTAGAAAATGCTTTTCTCTCGCATTACATTATGCTAAAATTTGTTTAGAAATCCTAAATTCAATTCGCCCTGTACCTAAATATATAATTAAAAAAATATTCACTATCGATCCCTACTCCCATCTAGTCGGTTTCACATTCTCACGCGCACACCCGCGTACAAAGAACCCGTAATTTTCCATGCACCTGCCGCATTTCCCGGTAAACGAAAAATCCGCAATATCTTGCAATCGATCATAAGCAAATTATCGAAGCTTTGACGGAGCAATGGATACGCGCATTCGTAATCGTCGAACGCAAAGCCAAAAAGGCATCGGCACGGCTGGTGTAACCGTATTTTCAATAATCCGCAACCACCCCCACCCCCCGAAAAACCGAAGAACGAATCTTACGGCAAACCACTGGTCCTTGCCACAGAGCTGCGAGGCAACCCACGTCTGCCGGTAATATCTCGCTAAGAGAATTCCAACGGAAGCTGTGCCGATCCAGGACGCGAGCATGAGAGCTCCGTGGATTCGCACCAAGAGTTCGCTGCTCGCGACTAGGCCTTCGCTGACGTCCGATAGAAGTCTCGTTTCGCCCGAACTTGCCCTGGCGATGTCGTGGTAGCCGACGGATTTCTCTGTGGATGGAAAGAGTAGTGATTGATTTTTTTTTTCTCGAAATTCGCACTGTTCGTGAGTAGCCTGACCTATTAATAAAAGATTGCCCCAATATGTGATAGAATATTTGCGTAAAGAAGGAAAAGGGATTTATGTCCCTTTTCTCGTTGGCCTGGGGGTGTTGTTTTACGCTTTCAGTGCAATCACTCCAAATAAAAGCTTGAACGATGAATTTGTTACTATACGTGTAGCTTTCAAACTCGAGACAGTAATACTTCATTATTATCTTCTAGGAGCACTGTCACCTGATACTTAAAATGGATGACCTTTTCATTTAATTTACCTCCCCTCTTGATATTTCACAAAATTTCGAATATAATAAATGGAAAGTATGAATCGCTGTGATGCGCAATAATTTGTAATCTTATCGTTGCTGCAGAAACGATTAAACAAATCGGACAAATGCATTATATTAATTTTTTAAAGCATACGCTTTTACGAGGCTCGCAAAATATTATCAACCTACATAAGTGCGCTAATTGATTAATGCGAGAACTATTATTCTATTAAATGTAATATTCTTTCTGAAATAATCTTGACTATGTACGGAAAAATAATGTTAATACCCGCGGGGCATACGATAAAATAAACCATGGCTTTAATGCATTGAAGTGAAAAAAAAAAAAAAATAAATAATTTGAAATAAATCCTTCGGTAGAAGAATCGCGACATTAATGAAAATAAATTTTGTAACAATATGATCGCCGTCGTAAAAACATGAATAGAGATGTATTGTCGGAAACTTTACTATAATTACGTATGCACATTTTTTAATACCACGTGGAATATAAAATTAATTATTACTTTAAGGGATTATTTTTTTAAAAAATAACTCACACAAAAATATATCGTGTAGTGGATAAAGTTATTAATACGACGGTGATCGAAACTTTTAAATAAAGGAGTTATGTACATAAGGAAGGCACATTTAGTATGTTAATCTATAATAATATTTTTATAAATAACCAACTGACAAGAATTAATGTACATTTTTTTGTTAATCTATTCACACGGAGAAATATTAATGTAAATATAAACACATTTGAGCTTGTGAATTTTAATGAAATTCTCGAAAAATTTTTAAAATCTATTTAATAATCATCTTCACATAGTAATAAAATAAGTTATTTATAAAGTTGTTTTACTAATACTATAAGCAATAAAGAAACTAAAAACTCTTTTATCATACGCTCTATATATTAAAATATTTATAACATTTTCTTCCTCTAGAAAAAGTATTTTAGCTTTTTCAAAAAAAATAAAAAATAAATAAATAAATAAATAAATAAAAAAAAACAATTATAAAGCATAGAATTTTTAAAAATGAATTATTACATTAATTAGCAACAGAGTCAGGCATTTTTTATAGCTTTGAATGGTGAATTTAACCTAAAATTGTACGAAATATCATAGAATTATATTAAATAAATTTTATTTCTATATTAATTTTATGTATTGTTAATCATTTGACTCAGAATTATTAAATAATTGAAAGTACTTATAAAAAAAAAAAAAAAAAAAAAAAAAAAAAAAAATGAATTCGTAATTCATAAAAAAATTTTAACATTCCTACCTTTTAGCAATTTTCGTTCCCAAAAGTTTTCAAATATAAATATTATCATACGTGTGCTCTGATCGACAAAAAAAACCTTTTCTTACAATAGAACGCGAACAAGTTAAAAAAACATTAACATATTAAAATTTATACTTATCGTATCTTATAATATCGTAATTCGCATTCTCATCTTTAGCTTTATAATTTCTATATTTCTATATTAAAAACATTTTTATATTTAATTCTACTATTTGATATTTAGCTTATAAATAATATAGATTTTAAACTACACATTTATGAATATGCTCTTGCGCTTTAAAATATTTCTGAATATTAGGAAAAAGGTTTCCATTACATTTTTATTTATGTTTCGAGAAAGCAGTAGGTGAGTTTTTAATTTAGCTTAGTTGTTGATTTATAATACCAATATGTTGTTATTTGCAATATCTGCACGGGCTCGTAACATGAACTTTCTTAAGAAGACTTAATAAACCATAAAACAGAATAATAAAAGTTTCTTTTTTATAAAAAAATATCTTACTTAAGAGTGCTTGAATATAGCGATTTTTAATTTTAACGGGTCAAGCTTAGCAATTGCTCTAATATAATAAATGCTTTTATTTATTAACCAATTGAAAAATATTTTAGAGCACATAAGAAATTTATTGCTCAAGCATTAGAAGGAATACAATTTGTATGGTAAAAAATTTTATACCAAAATTCAAAATAAATGCGCTTATAGACAAAGCCGTATTGAGGTAATATTTTTTAGAATTATTTACAGTTACAAATGAAAAAATAACTATGAAAAAATAACCGAACCAATTTTCAAATAATTATTAAAAATTAATTTTTCTTCATTTTCATCCCCAACGCTTGAATAAATTCTTGGGCTGTTGAGATTTTTACCTCTGACTGACCTATTTCGACATTCCATATAAATATGACATAAATCGCTCAATTCGTAGACATGGAAATATTCTTTATACTTTGTCAGACATTTGAATCGAAGAAAATTTAAATTATATGAAATAAATTTTGAAGAGCTTATAAAATATAAATTCCTTTGATAAAAGTGAAACGTAAACTTATTTCACGAGCATTACAATGCATAATACGTAAACTAAAATTGATGTTCTATAATATAGTAAATTTTATATAGGCTACTGCTTGTAGTAAAGGAACTGTAAGCGTTTCAAAAATACTTGAAAAAAATCATAAGGAATGTTCGAGGCTTTTTTTATTATTATTTTTTTTTTTTTTGCGGTGAAAAGGAAATGCCATTATTTTAATGATATTTGAAAATTTAGTTTATAATCAAGTACTGATTTCGTCGCTTCATACGTAATTATCTACCTTTTAAACCACTTCCAATAGCAATCAGCAAATGATAGGGTGTATTAACAAGGTCAAACTGTTGTCCTTGAACTACCGTTAGCTTGTTTCGGAAAAATTTGCACGTCATAATGCCATCTTGAACAGAGCTGGATATTGACTCGATAGCGCCTGGGAGCTGCGAAGTAAGCAAAAATATATATGCATACATACGTACAAACACGGGCGCGCGCGCACACACACACACACAAACACGGGCGGACACCTATACAAAGGATATATTTGTTCAGAGGTGTATGAATGAATGTAGGTCTCAAGAAGTGTAGTTTTACGAGTTATTTCCAATGATATATATGACTTCTCCGTCTCTCTCTCTCTCTCTCTCTCTCTCTCTCTCTCTCTCATCTTTTAGAAACGTGAGATTACTTACAGTTGGAATCCTGATGTTCTTCTTGCCGTCGTTCCAGGACATGTGAAGAGAAACTTGATTATCGTTATTGATACATTCGACAACACTGTCATCGCCCTGAAAAATAAAATTGTATTATTAATTAATGAATTTTTATTCATAACCTATGGTCGATCTACTTTTCTATAAATGAGATATATTAAACCGTAGTCATTGAATGTTCTAAGGCTTGTAAATATCATTCGTACAAACGACAATTATATAAAGCGTCCGAGTAGCGTATTTGCAGTTCCCAGGAACGTAAGTACTCTTTCTGAAAATTTCATTTTAAAAATTTTACTTTACTTATAATTTGAGGGATTTCGTAAGACTATTGACTCAAATTAAAATAACTTTATCATACAATATACCCTCTGAAGTTTTACATAAATTTAACAATTTACTTACATAACTTTATGTAATTTATTTAATATAAAAAAAAAAAAATATATATCAAAATTCATCACGCTTTAGAAATTTTTAGAAATGTACGATATAATAGAATTAATAAGAAAGTGAGGCAAAAGAAACTAGATTCTATCAGGAAAATATGTTATTTTAATTAAAGAAAGTTGTTTCGTTATTCACTTTATAAAACTGGCGAACAATAAAAGTTATATTTGTGTAATATTAAAAATTATGCGTGGCACAGTCCGTCTCGTTAATTATTTGAGAACCTCATCGCTAATGAATATATTACATGTTAAATGATTCCCAAATGATAAACAAACAATGCAGAATAATGACAATGCAGAATTTAATGTCAATGTAATAAAAGCGTTTTGAAAAAATGGTCCATCCAATCATTTAATTTGCTTTTTAATCGATTTCGATCCATTAAAAAAATTTCAAAACCAAATTTGGAATAAACGAGTATATCTTGATAAAATCTCTCTACCTGTATTCCCTCGGTTTAGTACTGATTTTCATTGGTTTTTTTTTTTTTTTTTGCTCCTCAGGTGGAAATTTTCTCTTGTATAATTAGTCGCCGATATAAGCTAAACATAGTAGCTTTTTTATAAAGATAAATTGAAAAGGAAGAAAAAAACTTGTTTTTCTATACACCGATGTTGTAAATCATCAATTAATTACGTATATAATTATATATTTTGTAAAGAAATTGTTTTTAATAAATATCGCGTTGAAATTAATTTTATGATTCCAAAACACCTACGATTTTTTTTCGTTTTTATAATGTAAGCTTTAATTCGGAGCTCGCACTTTAATAATTAATTTAAAGCAGTTTCAACTCTTATGCATTATATTTAGAAATTTTTACGGTTTGCAAATTTACTATAAAAAAAAAAAAAAAAAAAAAAAAAAAAAAAAAAAAAAAAAAAAAAAAAAAAAAAAAAAAAAAAAAAAAAAGAAATAGCTGAATTTTAGCTAATTGACTAAATTGCAATTCGCGTGTAAGCTTAGCAAAGAGTAGACAATAGAACACACGAAGTGGGAGGTGGAGTATGGTAGATTAAAAATTGCAAGTATTTAAACTATCGATATAATGAATAACTTTGACGGAATATTATTGAACTACCATTTTGTTATCGGCGGATAAGCCAACAGCAACGTATTTAGAGTTACGTGACTGCATCTCGAAGATGTACTGCTCGCCTTTAACAAGGACGGAGACAGCGGCAGCGCAATTCTTTTGTTCCACGCAGGCATTTGGTGTTCCGAAGCAATTCTTCGTTGCTCCGCATCCGTCATAGAACACATTGTCGTCGTCGGTGTTCTGAAAGAAAAAATTACAAGCAGTTTTGTGGGCGCTCAACGGCTATTTGCCAGAAGTAATTTACGGCACAATGATCGTATAGATTCTTCTATCGTACGTTTTTCTAAAGTGCATACGTGCATTACACGACAGTTTTTCTGTTAAAATGTCAATGGCGGACCGTGGAGTCGCATACGACCTTTCATGAAAATTACATCGATACGTAGATCGACGTACATAAACATTAATCAAAATCATCGATATATTATTACGATTACGGAGGGATATAATAATAATAGTAGTCGGCCGTCGATTATTGATTTAATAAATCAATAAAGCCTCAAGAATATAAAAACCATAGTGCGATTATGTTATGTACACTAGACGGCGTTACGAATCGATAATTTTTGCCAAAATAAAAATGTAAAAAGGTGATTATCGTACTCGCTTTAAGACTAATAAAAATAATAATAGAAAATAGAGAAAAAAATTTATTATTTGTTATACGCAAATTATGTGAACCTTGTAATTGTAATTAAAAAGCTGGGGAAAAATGGCAAAGCCATTATGAATAATCTATAATAAAAATGTTATATTAATAATAGTGATTGCTGCTAATGATAATTTATGTAATCATCCGCATACTTATCTTCGACAAAAATTCCGTATTTACTTCGTGCCGCTGGCGGTCTATAAATCACAATTTTCTCTATGCAAAACATGAAATAATAATAATAATAATAATAACAATAATAATAATAATAATAATAATAAAATAATAAAAAATATAATATAAGAAAGGAAAAATAATCTGAAAATATGATCGAACAAGCCACATCTACGTACGTGAGCTCCTTAAAGCACTCGAACGCACATTCACGTGCCACATAATTATGTAAAAATTCTTAAAAAGAAGTAGGTAAAACGAGTACAAGACACTCGTATCCTTGAGCCTTTACGATAATATCTCGGCCGATGCTTACGACTATGATAAGCTAGGCTATTGGCTTCTCAAGGCTACAATCTCCGGTCCTCGACATAACAGCTTAACATAACAGTGCGACTTCCGCCATCTAACACTTCCTTCGGCAGGATCATCGCTGTAAATAAATCGGCAAACTCGCCTCAATTTCCTCGTCAGTAATCCCAACTTTAACGATCGGCCTGGACCTTGGCTAACCACATAACCACACAACCCTCGCTCGGCAACGTTTATTTAGACACGCGTGCCCCCAAGTCTGTAAGAACGCCGGGGGATTATCGTTCGTTCGCACGTTCGTTCGCTGGAAAATCCCGGATGACGACGAGCTCGAATCCGCGCCCCGAGGTCCGAGTCGCAAATATTCAAGGCTCGAACGCGCAACCGACTTTATGAGCCGTGACGAAATATTACGTTCGTTATGTTGGCCATGTGTATATCCTGTCATTATTTTAATGCAGCGATGAAGAGTGTAGTGTTGGTGGTTATTAAGGAGTCATCGGGATTCGCTTTGCATAAAGAATCTAGAGTGATGACGAAACTACGAGTGGGGTGATTCATTATTATTCAGATTATGAGAATCAAACGGTGTAATAATATTCTCTTTGGCGTCGCTTTCGTGGCTCTATATTCAAATTTCATCGCAATCTCATTGATAATAGTTCATTGGCGCGCAATAACGGCTGTATTAGGGCGTGCGTGTGTGCGTGGGTGCGTGCGTGTGCGGGTATGTTTCAATGATTCCTTGAAATATTCGAGATTTCAAATGCATTTTTGTTTATATTTTTCTACCTGGCTTTGAGTCCTTTCCGTTTTTGTTTGTTTTTTTTTTTGTTTTTTTTTTTTTTGTTTTTTTACAATACCAGACGTAAATTTCTAAAATATCATCAACTCGAGAACACGAGAAATGCGGCTCCTTGAAATATTTACATAAATATTATAAATTGCATGATTGGATTTTCACTGTAATATTGTGTTTCTTGATAATAATTAATTTTATCACGAATTTTGGACATTCGACTTATTTCGCAATAAATCCCGGTATTTAAGCAACAATTTTACTTAAAAGTTTTATATTCGTTATTATGTTTGTTGTTTATTCAATAGCAAATAACGTTTCACTTAAACGTTCGTTTAAAAATTCGTAATTTACGCTATGTCGAATCCGTCTTTATATTTTCTTTCATATATAAATACGCCAACTCGTATGCTCCACTGACGAACTATCTCTCTCTCTCTCTCCTCTCTCTCTCTCTCTCTCTCTCTCTCTCTCTCTCTCTCTCTCTCTCTCTCTCTCTCTCTCTCTCTCTCTCGTATGTATGTATATATATATATATATATATATATATATATATATAGACAGAGAGAGAGAGGCAAATGACATGAGATAATCCGTTGCGAAAATACAAAGATGAAAGGTTTTTTCTACTTTGGGCATATGAATACGTTGCGCTTTTCGACGAGTGACGTTTTATTTTCCAAAACTTATGGGCCGGGAGAAAAATATTATAGCACGAAAATTTATGAATAATTTCGAGAAGAATGACAGTCTGTATTTGAAAAGATGAAGAAATGAAAAGTTTGAATTAACAAGGAGATTATTGACGATAATCGGATAAAGCAACTCTAAAAAATTAAATTATAATAATTTATAAAAGGTTCTAGGGCTTTAAGAGAAAGTCTTGAGAATTATTAATGATTTTAATTGCTTCAATATTTTTTAAGGGCTAAGCGTATTATTACATTAATTCCGCTCGTGAATAATTTCTTTACTACTTTTATTTTTAGAATCGCAAAATAAAATTTCACCTTAAATAAACTGAAATCCTTTACAAATGTAATAATCCTGTTAAATAAAGGAGACAAAGAATATTTAACCAAGCAATAACAAGTTGGTATGATATCATTAACTAATTAGCATATCAATTTGTCAGCGGAGAAGCGATGATGATTATTTGAAAAAAAAAAAAAAAAATCTTTTTCAAAATTTATACTTGTTAATGCTATGTAGTATTTGTCGAATGAGTCTATTTGTCGAAATATTATTATTACTAATAAGGATATAAGCTTATATGGCGGCAGATTTTCAACAATTCAAGGAAGTCATTGCGGTTTTTTCTTTCCTTCCAAATACATATCTCGTTCTTCACTCTGGCAGTTTAATCCCTTAAGAGGGAAAATTCGATGGCGGAAACTTCATCGACAAATCGCATCGACGTTTAATGATAAATCAGGATGGTTAACGAGTAACCGGATTCTTGCACACTGTTTATCTTTTCGAAAGATGTGCGCACAATTCACGTGTCAACTTAACTTGGAACAGCCGGAAACACGTTTGATGTTTCGGAAATTCGACTGTTGCGTACGAAACTTATGCAGTCGAACGACGGTGCGATGTGCGTTGTGCAATTTTATTTCTCTTCGTACGCGAATTTATAATTTTCTTAGTGAATCTAGTGCTTCGATCGAATTCACTGCGCAAATAAGTGTAGGCTGTTTCCTCCTATTCCGATTGTCTATTAAAAATTATTTAGGTCAGTATATAATTAATTATTTTTTTGTTTTTTATTTTGTTTAAAACTCGACTTAACAATCGATGCATTAAAACTGCATTAATGAATAAATAAGTACATCATTAAAACAAAAGATGATTGCGACATTTTAAGAGATACGTATAAGCAAAGTAAAAATATTTTAAAAGGTTGAGTATTTTGAGTAACGTTAACTTTTGACTTTTGAACAACTTATGCATTACGCACGACTTAATAAGAGATAGAAGGAAGGATTATGAAGTTATTTGATGAATTACTGAAATATTATTAAATAGTCGGGGCGTTTTTCATCGCGCTTTCATCAGCGACAATTCCTTGTTGAAAAGATAAAGAACGAGAACAAACAAAAAAGAGAAAGAAAAAGAAATGAAAAGAAAATTCAGTCTTCGTAACAAAATCATCAGCGCAGACTTCAAGTTTCACTCTCGTTTCCGCGCTCATTTACTCGCCTCGCAAACGTTACATTACAAACTTTTAATCGTCCTTTCAATCTAATTCGCAGAGCTTGAAAATCAACGACTGCAGATCTAAGGTGTAGTAATCGTCAAAAATCCACCACCACCGACGTAACGTCACGTAAGACCGGCTCGAAGCCAAAGAGATCCTAAATGTTATCTACTTATTATTGGCGATGATGGCGGTTAACGGGAGGCACGGGGGCACTGAGCCTCGCGTCATCAATTGAAACGAATTAAATAAATTACATGGCACCGGCAGGCCATTAAACGAGGTGCTGCAATTAGCATCGCTATTACGTATACGCCTTTACGGGGACATAAGCATGGGAAGTAAGCAACTCACAAATACCTTAGCCTGGATAATAATGTGTGTGTGAGAGAGAGAGAGAGAGACACTTACGTGCGGCTTCCTAAATTAATAAATGACGACGATGCATCCCACGTACTTACCACGATCTCGGTAGTCGGTGTGTAGTAAGGCGGAGTGGTGACGCGGGGGAAGGTAATTGTCGGGGGCGTCGAATGTATGTCGATGGAACGTTTCACCACTGTGATCCGGGGCGATTCGACGCCGACCCAGAAGACGTCCCAGGTTTTGCAGATGGTCGAGCTGAAAAAGCCATGCGGAGGTTAGCTCGGCCCTTCATGGCCTCGTCCGAGATTACGGGCCACTGCTGGGGAATAGGCAGTTTTTACGAGAACCGGGACTCGAGCACCGGTGCCGACAATGAGCCGATCTCTCAAGAGGATAAAGTGATGGGAAGAGCAGAGGAGATACAGAGAGCGAGATATTACACTTTTTTTTTCCCGAGATTTTGGACGGGCCTCGGCTGGTGTTTGAGTGACCGAGTGATTATTGCTGCTGTTGACGACTTATCAACGATCCGTAATTACTTGCTAGGATTCGTACTTTCATCGAGCGAATAGTATGATTAAAAGTTTAATACATTAAAATAGATGAATTTGGAGTTCAAAATTATGCCGGCAATTTGGCAACAATGTCATTGATAAAATAAAATCAAATTAGAAATAAAATATTGTCCGAAGTGCGATAATTTATTGGTTAGAATTAATACGATGAAGATACGTGTCAGTGCTATGGCATTTCTCGAATTTATTATTAAACTTTCTCACGAACTTTCGAACGAAATTTACCATGGATTTAATAAAATTTCAAGAAATTTAACAATTTTGGCACAGGGCGCAATGAAAATATTGCCACTTTGGCAAAGCATCCAAGTGGACTTCGCATATGTCTTCTGAGGTATTAAGAAGACAACGTGAAGTTACAATTTTATTCAGCAATGATAACGCGTCTTATGCTCTGCAGAAAATAAACCGGGGAACTCCCGGTGAGATAGTGCCAATGGAGAAAACATGTTTAAATGAACAATCCATGTTGCGAGTCTTCGCATGAGCGCTCACTTTCTCGGTAAAACAACTAAGATAGTAATAATAATAATAATTATTATAATAATAATTATTATAATAATAATAACAATAACAATAATAATAACGATAATAATAGTAAAGCAGTCAATTACTGGTGACTAATTAATTTCGAGATAGTACATTTGGGCTTCTTATTAACAAATAAACATAAAAACAAAGAGTGCCTCGAGTAAGGCGAATTTGTAATTTTTATTTTTTATTTTTTATTTTTTTTTACAAAATAAAATGTTCAAAAAAGTCGTACCTCTTGTTTCACTCAATTTAATTAACGAAAATTTTCTACGTCATAGTTTACCGAAGCTGAAATAAAAATGTTTATGTAATTTTTTCTTTTTAATTTAATAGATTTTTGTCGATTTGTAGCTCTTGAATTGATAATCTATTCTTATGTAATTTTGTAACTTTCTTGCTATTAGATAATATGCATTGAGCAAAGTTTATAGCTCGAACAAGTAATTGAAGAAATTGCAATAAAGCATTTTCAAATATCGTTTCTTCAAAGATTCACGGATTTATTGCGATATCTATTCATGATCGGGAATTGAAAATAATATTTGTTAAATCTGTCCGTCGCGCGCAACAAAAATAGTAAATAAAGAAATACATCAACTTTTTACAATGAATTATTCTAGCCATCTACTACACGACCGTTATCTCTCTAATTTCACTTAATCTCGGACTAATGAGATCTAAAGAATTAACTGCTATGGAGGCTAATAGTCGTACAATAATTACATTTTTCCTTCATTTTTACTTTTCTTTTTGATAATTACAAATTTATCAGTGTTTTCGCTTAACGCTAAATTTCTTAGATTTTTCACGGCCGAAAATAATAGGACATAGCAGAGCGGGATTAAGAGAAAATAGAAGAAGAAATTACTTGAATATAATTGTTCCTTCATAATCTGCTGGAGCCTCCCAGTCAATCTCGAGATTGTGAATTTTCTCGGGCTTAACATGCGTGACACCATTCTGAAATGTTGAAGAATATGAAAATTAGGACGTTAATTTTTCCTCATTACATTTAATTTTCATCTCATTTAACATTGACTTTCACATTATACTTTTACTTTCGGTCATTAGATTCATTCTCACTTTCGATTAACGTGAAAATTGCATTCAATTCAAATATTACGGGAGTATTTTGGTTTTGAAGTTTGCTTGAAAACATAAAATTTCCAAAATAAACATCCCTCTCTCTATAATGCTTAAGATCATTTTATTTCAATCGAATTGTCAAATTTCATGCTTCAATATTAATACTTAATATTTTTTTCCATTTTATCAATCCGAAAATCGCTAACAGACATCTAACAGGCTCTGATAATGCGTCAAACGAGTCCTTGTCGAATTTGCAAAATTTTCATAAAAACGAGTTATCGCGCGCATTTAATTGATGATCTCTGACTGCCCGATGATATTATTAATTTGCAAAACTATGGAGACGCCGAGCTGCGTATTGAGTCTCTTAATTAATTAATTATTTTTCCGATCTCGCGCACAACGTCCAAGCCCACGTTTCAGCAAACATCGGCAGTTAGCAAGAGCTCGATAAACATTTGCAGAAAGAATAATGAATTGGCGAAGGGACAGCTGCCGTATATCGATATTCCTCATTAATCGGTAAAACCATCGGCAAGCGATCCTTTCTAAATATTAAAATAATATGACTCACCTTGAGTCCGGGAGTGCACTCGAGATGCCGTGCCGAGGTCTCCGGCAGATTGTTGAACTCGCCGACGAGCTCGCCGGTCTCGACGTCGCGCGCCAGGATGATGAAACCCTCGTAGCCGTCGCCCTCGGGGCTCCCGAGAATCAGTCGTATTCTGCCCTGGCCCTTGGAGGGTAACAGCTGATAGGGAGGATTGGACGTCTGGGGCGCCTTGTTGTGCATCGGCATCAAGGTATTACAGGTGGATAGTGGCGCACCTGTCGGCGAACTCCATACCGCGGAGGTCAGCAGCAGGCAGCAGCCGATGGCCAGATTGAGACTTGGCCTCATCTTCGTAGCCACTGTAACGAGATGTTGCGAAAGAGGCTGGTGAGTTTAGTGAAACGGAGCCCTGACATTATAACTATAACCACTAGATTTGCTCCAGGCTAATGTACTTGATTTTGCGATCGAGTACGATCCACAATGACGTATAAATGCGATCTTGAATACTTCAATTATAGCGAGTATCCAGCTGCATTACACTCCTAAAATAGTTGTCCTTATTTAAATTCTTATTTGAATTCGTAATTTATTAAAGCGAACCGTCTACTGACTTTTTAATTTCTGGATTAACGATTACTTAGCACAGATTTCGGCGGTTAATATTGACAATCCAATCGACAATATTACGACATTTTTCATTTTGTACTAATATTACTTTATAGTATTTTCGAATTCTATAAAGCGCATATATACTTGGCTATATTCACATTCATTATTATTAAGATTATAATTTGGAACAATAAGACGCGTTGGTCTTATGAATTGCAAGGTGAGCCAAAAATAATTTTCCTATTACACATCGATCGCTAGTTACAAACATTCAATTCCATCTACTAATTTACGAGGAAAAAGCCCATTTCACTTGCTTATTTATAATTAAAGTAATTTAAAATTAAATAATACAATTCTTTACACAAAGAGGGAAAGAAATTTGTTTTATTTATTTTTTTTTATTTGTTTCTAATGTAATGAAATTACTTTCTTGAAATATGACTTAATAGCATAAATTTATATATTATATACCCCGTAAATAGCATATATATATATATATATATATATATATATATATATTTATATTTAAAGAGAAATATATATTTGTATTAAAAAATATTTTTAGATACGCTATAATCATACATAATTATAATGGTATTTGTTTATAATTATCTAAAGACAATAGATTAATATTAATACTAAAATTGGTTAGAATAATAGTTGTTTAAACTGCTCGATTCTTTAATTAATGTTTATAATATTGATGTAATATTTTATATTCATATGAATTAGCCGATAAAGTTTATTAGCTATTGAATTTAATATTTGAATTATTTTGAATTATTTTTATTTATTAATATTTGAAATACTAATAACTAATCTTAACGCAACGAAGATATAAAATTTATCTTATATAAAGTAACGTGTTACTTGATATTGTATATTAAATAAAAAAAATTTTTAATTTATGCAATATCTATTTATATAACAACAATATGATTTTATGTTGTACGACGAACATTTAGGTATTATATTATAAAATATTCTATAATCGTTGTATCAATTGAAGTATAAACGTTGTAAGCTATTAAATATGTACATGAGTACATAAGAAAATATTTAACGAAATATTTAAAAGGAATAATTTAATAATTCCGTAAATATACGTATAATGGAATTGTTTTTAAAATAAAATTAAATTTCAATAATTTGTCGATAATAAATTCTGCATTATTTTAAAAGTATAAATATGAATTAATTAAAAAATTTTATTATAAAAAAAAAACAACTGTAAAGTTCTAACAATATTACAGCCACAACGAAGTAATATAATAAAAATATTATTTTTTTTTTTTTTAAATTAAATCATGTTTTTTTTTCTAATACTACGTAAGATAGATAAATACATAAAATTTCATTTAAATTTACTATTGAGCAAGCTATTTCAGATCACAAGAATAGCTTATTGTAGAATATCACTTCTTTTTTACGATTTTACAAGCTAACACTTGAGGCGATAAAACCATCTTTATGCACTGTATTTCTGGAAATACTTCTCGTTTTTATGTTGACTAATTGAAAATAACGGCTTTACAGTAAATTACTAATCATTACCGAATTATTTGAAAAAAAAAACAAAAAAAAACAAAAAAGAAACAAAAAAAAAAACAAAAAAAAAAACAAAAATAAAAAAATTTATTCAATTTACTTGGATTGCTTTTATTTATTCAGAAATATAAGACTTGATGGACGTTGGCATTGCGAATCTTTTCATACGAATCTTTCATAAGAAAATAGTAAGAAAATTTGTATTTTCTATATTAAGGAAAATGTAAAATAATGCAAAGTTTAAGTTTGACTCGCAATCCTTGAGGGCTTGCTCGTAGTCAAAATAAAACTCAAACTAATAATGAATTTTATTCATTCATATGACAAATTATTTTAAGGATTAATGAAATGTATGAGTTTCGAGAACTTTTGAAAAATGCATGAGAAATTATATCGAAAATGTCTTTTCATTTTATCTGCTGGTATTGTGTTTTAATTATGTTTCTAGTAAATTTGAATTTTGAAAATACTTTCTATTCTGTTATTTTTGTAGAAAATTGTGATTAAAATTTATCCTTACAAAATGTATAATCAAACTGAATTTTTATTTCTTTCCACGAAACCATTTTCTATTTATTATAAAGTATATTTGAAAAATAATTGATAATAAATTTTTATAATCATAAATACCTGCAATAAAAACGCTATAGGAAGACAAAAATAATGACACGTTTATTATATTGAATATATTTCAAATTTATATAAATTTTAATGCTATTCATAAGCATTTTCTAAGATTACTAATGTTTTTAGTTTTTTAATAAAATATATATGTCCCCGATGATTATAAAATGCGTTTTATCGTTTCAATATACTCATAGATACATGAATAATTTATTTCCTGCATTATAAACAATGTTTGAACGAGTCTACATTGAAATTATTTTATAGGAATTCCTTTTTCCAATGCAATTTTAACGAAATATAACAAAAGCTTCGGCAATTATTCACTTGGCTATTTATTATAAATATAAAATTACTTATTAAAGTATAAATTTAATATCGAATATCATTTACTGATTTACTATGATATTTAAAATTTACAAATATGATATCATAAATCTCTCGTTGATTGGAAGATAGAAGATAATTCGAGATAATAGAATGCATTTTTAAAAATACGACGAAAAATTGCACAAAATATCATTATTCAATTATAAACATTATAATGTACATTATAATTAGAATAACGATAAATGCTTTAACTGAACAAGTTCTCACATTTATATTAAACTTCCCTTGGCTTTTACGATAACTTAAAGCAAATAAAACGATACGAGATTTTAATTTATATAAAGTCTCATTCACAGCATATCTTGCGCCTATTTGCCATGCATCCTCTTTTTTTCTTTTAGAATTTACTTTACTTGGACATGCAAATTATACAGGACACGTTCTTCGGTGCATAACTCCACTTGAGCAACTTTCTCAGAAAAAAGGAATTTACCGGTTTCTCGATAATCTTTTGAGATTCAGAATCTCGCTCTGCCTTTCCACAAAGTTTATAGAAAAATGTTATTCTTCCTTTCGTAGCATCAATAATATTTAGCATTTACATGCCAAATTATAGCTTCGTGGCGAACAATATTTTATACGATAAATTAATTCGCAATGAATGAAATATAAAACTTCAACATGGAAATTCATTATTCCAATCAACTTCACAATTGCAGTTGCTTTCAAATTTGAAAACGTTACTCAAAAAGATTAATCGTGTAACTGTACCCTATGATTGATGAACAAGAAATAGTCATTTACTGAGGACGAAGCGATCCATTATTTGAATTACTATCATACATTGCGAATGAAAGATAGACAGAGAAGGGGAAAAGATGGCAAACAATTTACTAGGAAACTAATGAATTTTAAAATATATAATTAAGAACTCGTATTGATTAGATTGTAATTAGTTTAAAGAATATGATAGTACAAAAATAAAAAAAAAAAATATTAAAATAAAAAAAAACATCGATTAACCGAAGCTATGTAACATCGACGGAAGTGAGATATCACAACAAATGAAGCAAATTAAATAATTCCAAGTGCATTAACATAAAGTAAGTGACTTTGGTTTTATTTATGACACAATGACAGTCGAACGTAAAAGCTGACATGTATTACAAAAACATAATAAATATTCAACCAATACATACTACTAGTGTAATATTAAATAAATTATCGAAGATATTTTGTAACTTTTAATTAGCTCACATGAAACGCTTTAATATCTTGGATATTCACAGCAATACCATGAATAATGAGCTTGAGAACGAAAATTGAATTTTCCATCATTTTTTAAAAATTTCTTCTAGATTTTTTCTTTTTTTTTGTTTTTTTGTTTTTTTGTTTGTTTGTTTTTTAAATTAAAAACGTTCATTGCATTTATTTGTTTGTGTTATCAGCCACATCGAGTAACATATATTTCGAAATTAATGCAACGATTTCCATTTATTCGACATTTTAAAGCTTTGCGAGGACTTGTAAAATTTTGTCGGTTAAAAATAATTATCCTTACTAATTATCCTTAAAGTGACTGTTAGCCGAAGATTGAAATTAAATTTTACAATACAGCGGCAATAGCATTAAAATATCTTTTGAATTACTTGCTAACCATTCTATGGATTTTAACAAATTAATCAATAGATGAAAATCAACAAATAAAAATCTCTTCATAAACATCTGAACATGATATTTCAGTCACGTCGTGGTTTCCGTTATGCCTTGTTCGTGCTCTTACTGCGTAATTTTTATTTTAACTTGCACATTAAAAAACTACGAAAGTGTTAAATAGAAACAAGCTAAATTGCAATTGTCAGTCTCTTTATGAAATGCAGGAGGTTACTAATTTTAGCACAGTTATTCACCTATTTTTTACTTCTTAGGAAGTATGTGCTTGACCCGAAACCTTGTTGAAGTATCTCAATTTTACTCGATAACATTACTTTACATTATTCTAATGTACAGAAAAAATATTCTCTATCTATCGTTACATACTTTTATAATGTCATTACGCAATAAATGCGTTTCTCCAGTATAATTTTTTATTTCGAATATTCGTATGTTCCAAATATTAATAAAAAATGATAATGATGATTCCTATTTAAATCATCCAATCATAATATTGAAAAAATACGTCTTTTTATTGGGTTTACATAACGAAGACCCTCGTTAACATAGAAAGAGTAAGTTGTTAAAA